TTCCAATATGCACGTTTCATATTGAGGTGGTACAATTCTCTCACACGACCATCGCTTCAGAACCTATATGAAATGTTTGAAAATTGTACTCGTGTGAAAATCTAGACATCAGACACATTCTAACCAGTGTTCCCGCTAAGCTTAGTTTGAGCTAACTCACAGTTTTTAAAACTCCGGCTCACACATTTTTGTCTTAGCTCAGTAAGGATGGCTCCAGAGCAAACTAATTTATGCAGTAGCCAAATTGCTCACTCACAACTTTAATGCCAGTAGCTCACAAAGTACAATTTTTGCTCACAAGACTCCACAGCTTAGAGGGAGCATTAGTTCTAACGCAGCCTTCATATCCAGTTGGGGGGAGGGGACATGGTTTTGATGTTAGGTGCTTGCAAGTAAATAACATCTCTCCACAAACACGCATATACAAGAATTCTGAGACCATCCAGGTGAGATGACTGAATCAGCAGAAGTAAAATTGTAGCTTCGAAATGATTGTCGGTTTCTTGTCAAGAAAACTTGGGCTATGTTATTGTAGGCAAAATCTTAGAACATAAGGAGGTGGTTGTTATGGCTATATCATCTGGAAAACTATACGAATTGGGGTCTTGGCTACAATAAGAATAATGTTTCTTTGTCCATGTCAGCTAGATAACATGACCAGTCAACTTAACTATTCTTAATGTTATCCAAGTCAACTTGAATGTTTTGAAGTGTGGAAATGTTTTCCAAGACAGATTATCTAATGCAGGGCTCTTTTTGTAGAAAAAGCCCAGCAGGAACTCATTAGCATAATAGGCCACACCCAACAGCAGAAACTCATTAGCATATTAGGCCACAACCCTGACATCACAGCTTGTTAGCACATTAGACTACACCCCCATGTTACCAGAAGTGTGGTCATCCAGCCACACCCACCTTTTGCTTCTTATTCTGTTTACCTTGTTTGTTGTCAAAACCCAGGGCTTTTTTTGGAGCAGGAACTCCTTTGCATGTTAGGCCACACACCCCTAATGTAGCCAATTCTAATGCGTTTCTGCTGTTGAGTGTGGCCTATTATGCTAATGAGGTTCCTGCTGGGTGTGGCCAACTCGGGAGCCAGCCGGAACTCCGTTCCTGTGCGTTCCTGCCCAAAAAGAGCCCTGATTAATGCATGCAGTAGCTACATAACATGTAACTGCAGACCATCTTTACTTAAGACAACAACCATTGTAGGTATCACCTCTTTTTACTGATCATCTTATCCCTTGTAATCTAACATCTATATTGTTTATAGTATACCTTGCTTAGTTTACTGCTTGCATTGTTCCCTAATTCTATGATCCTAGTCCTACTGCATTATACATTGGTTGTCTACTGCCGTCTGTATACACTGTAATCCTTCTTGAATCTCAGTGATAAAGGAAGACTATAAACAAAGTAAAATAAATAAAATAAACCAATCAGGGAAGAGTGGTCTGAAGGCAGCAGCAGGAGGAACTGCTTGGTTGCTTTAAAATAACTGCTGCTGCTGCCTTCAGACCAGTCTTCCCTGATTGGTTTATTTTATTTATTTTACTTTGTTTATAGTCTTCCTTTATCACTTTATCTCTCTCTCTCTCTCTCTCTTTCTGGAGGTCTGATGTGGGATACCAGATCAGCTGTCCTGGAAGAATGCCCCTTTGCCTCCACCTATGCTCTAATTGTATATTTGTCAATGAAGCAAGTAATAGTAACACACTTCCAATGTTCTCTCCTCCAAAAGAGGATCAATCCACATAAGCACTGGATCAGAGAAGTAGGGGACACATAACAGTATGCTGAACCTAAATGTTGGGATTTCCGTTATCTTTACTATGGTCCCAGTCACACGGGCTGGAAAATGTGGGGGGCTGCTTCCGTGGCAAACGGGAATTTTTTTTCCACAGCGAAGTTTGCGCACGTGCATGATCATTTGTGCGCATCCTGTGGAGACTTACCCCAAAACCCACACAACCCATCTGGTATGCGACGGGACATGGATGGGCGCCGGATGCCACGGGATTCAAGTGGAAACGCGATCAGATGCCCGCCCTTGCCCCGCATTTTCCGGAAACTAGTACATTGTATGTGGTAGTTTTTTACTCCGCATCTTCGGTGAGAAGCCACGGGTTAGCCACGGGTGTACTACGCTTTCCAGATGTTACAGTGTGATCGCACACAGAAAATCCGCCTATCATCCGTGTCTTTAGCACGGCAACTTCTCCGTGTGAACGGGACCTATGTACATTTTTCAAATCACCAAGGCAAGTCTCATGTATCTCATGTAAGAATGAATTGATGGATATAGTTAGTTAATTACGATCTGAGATCAGAAAATCATACCCACAGTAATCAAATAAACATTCCGATGATTATATTATATTAATTACATTAGTTAAAATTAGACACATATTGTAACCAGTGTTCCCTCTAAGCTGAGTTAGGGTGAGCTAGCTCACAGTTTTTTAGCTTCTGGCTCACACATTTTTATTTTAGCTCAGGAAGGACGGCTCCAGAGCAAACTAATTGATGCAGTAGCCAAATCACTTGCTCACAACGTTAATGGCAGCAGCTCACAAAGTAGAATTTAAATTTTGCTCACAAGACTCCACAGCTTAGAGGGATCATTGATTGTAACTATAAATGTAAACTATTATGCCAGTTAAAAGATGGACAGACTAAAAAGATGTCATAATAATTTCCAGAATTCTGTAAAAAGTAGTGCAGTGGCTGTGGCCAGAAGGTTACACTATAATCTGAAGGACCAGTGTTCCCATTCTATCACGACTGTAAGTGACCCTGGGCTCCTCACACTCTCTCAGGCTGTGGTCACACACAATCCACTTTCAATGCACTTTCCAACTGGATTTTGCCAGTTCACACAGTAAAGATCCAGTTGAAAAGTGCACTGGAAGTGGATTGAAAGTGGATTATTTAGTGTGTGTGACCGCAGCCTCAGTCTAATTTATTTCACAGGGTGGTTGTGAGGATAAAATGGAGGAGAGGAAAACCATATGTAACACCCTGAACTCCTTGGAGGAAGGGTGGGGAAAAAAAATCACTTGGCAACAGAAAACAAAATCCAGAGCAGCTGATGACATACAAAACACAATCCAAACTTAGATGGCAGGCTGTCTTATTGTGGAATTCTGAAACCACTTACCACACAAATACCTGAAGGACTGGATTATGACTCAAATTAAACAAAGGAATGTATATTTAATTAAGGACTAAACCAGTCAAGGTTATTGGGGACATTTCTGAGCTGCTATTTTGAATGTATAAGTACCGCACTTACCACACAAATACCTGAAGGACTGCATTATGACCCAAATTAAACAAGGGAATGTATATTTAATAGAGGACTAAACCAGTCAAGGTTATTGGGGAGCTGCTATTTTGAATGTATAAGTACTGCCTCTTGGTCTTGCAATGACTGGGCTGTCTACCATTTTAAAACTGGTACAATATTGGCTATGTCATGTGTGGTAATTGGCTACCTCATGATGTCCAGGAGGAACGCCAGTAAAGCCTGCTTTGGCCAATATTCTGAGTCACCACAAAGCTCTTCTGCTAATAATTTAACCCTTTTGCACCACAACCCCTATTGAATGTCGGGCCCTGGGAGACGGAACCATGAGGGAAAGGCAAGGGCACACTTGCAGACACACCCTTCTCTCCCACCAACGATGCTCACCACCAATGTTCCCTCTAAGCTGTGGAGTCTTGTGAGCAAAAATTCTACTTTGTGAGCGACTGGCATTGAAGTTGTGAGCGAGCGATTTGGCTACTGCATAAATTAGTTTGCTCTGGAGCCCCATCCTTCCCGAGCTGAGACAAAAAATGTGTGAGCTGGAGGCTAAAAAACTGTGAGCTGGCTCACACTAACTCAGCTTAGAGGGAACACTGCTCCCCACCACTGCCCCTGGCGGTGAAGCCAGCGCAGTGGACGAGGCCCCTCAGAAGAAGAAGGGGGTACTGAGGTCGCTATGGAAAGACCCAAATCTGCTTCCCAAGGCGGCGAGAGGAAGAGCCGAGGCGGCGGGCGTTGTGTTCCGAGGGGCCCACCAGCAGCCACCAAGGCCTGAGGCCGCCTCGCGGGCGGGCCGTATGTGTGAAATCATCGGCCGCCACCATTGTCCCGGCGCCACCTGCGTGGGCCTCCCTCACACCAGCTCCGCGCCTCCCCTTCAGGCTCTCCCGCTGAGGGGGAAGAAAACACCTCCTCGCTCGCCAAGGGAAGGGAGAAAGGACGCGGCGGGACCAGGGAGGGAGGGAGGGAGGGAGATGGCTGCCGCCGCGCTAGCCAAGGGCCGCGGCCGGATATGCGTGTCCGCCGCGGGGCCACCGATGTAGCTGACTCGCCCAGGTCCAGCCCCTGAGCAGCAGGAGCCGTGGCGGCAGCGGTGATCGGCGGGAAGGGCGCCTCAGCTGCGCTTCCCCGCCCGGCCATGTAGAGGGGGCCCGCCCGCTCCGAAGACGCCCGCCGGCCCGCCTCAGTGT